TATTAAAAGCACAGTTATGTGTTTATAATAGTTGGTCTCACATCCGGCCTCAAGCATCCTATTGATCTGTGATTTCAACTTAACCCTTAAACTGTCCAAACGTAGATCTACGTTTTTTTCAACATTTGAATGTAAAAAAAAGTATATATATATTTTTTTTTACATTTGAAAACGTGTAAAAAACTTTGATCTACTTTTTTTTGTTATATTTGAATATATGTATAAAAACGTAGATCTACTTATGGAGCACTACGCATGTGAACGTAGATCTGCTTGGACAGTTTAAGGGTTAAAACGTCTACATGAAATAATGTACCAAATAATTTAGAATCGAAGAATATCCTGAGAGCTATTCTGCTATATATTCGCCCATAGTGAACATAACTCGAAGGAATCCTATTGGTTTTCATGTGATATTTTGTGAATGTATCATCAGACTGACTTTAGCCTTCAACGCTAAAAGCATGAGAATGTATCTTCTGGAGTATTTTGGGATAATTTTCTCTGATGGTTAGTTGGTTAATGATGTTTAAAACCTGTTGATAAGGCACATAACTTTATCGCCACCAGACAAAAATGTTTTAATCCCTAAAATATGGATTATTGTAAACTCTGACCATATATATACGTTGAAAGGTACTAATTACTTACTGCATATGTCCTGTGTGATGGTCTCTGTAAAATCACTAAAGTGGAAATCTTTCTCGGATTCCACAGCGCTCGAAGAGCACCTGCTTGTTGTATGGAGCAACACATGTTAAACAATATACACTACATGTGATTAAAATTTAACTTAAATTCACCTGAAAATCAGCAAGCAATGAGGCCTTTGCAAAGAAAATTAAGTCTATATCTATTCGTTTACTGTAAATTTTCATTTGTGAAAGGTATAAAATACATAGGTCAACAATTTTTGGAAAAGTTGTATGCTTCTTAAATGACTCTATTTAATTCTTATGTATTTTCATGTACTGAATCCAAATATCACCTTGAAAAATGCGTATTTGCTATAGGTTTAAAGATACGAGACATGTAATATTTGATTTATATTATAACGTACAATACGTTTCAGTATGTTTCAACCTCTAATTCGTACCTACTCTCTGCCTTTTTGCTTGACGCTTATAGTGGGCTGAAGAATCATTTCTTGCCAATGTCCAGCAATGGTCTGCAAGCATTCTTGTGCCCCATTTGCATTGGTACCATTTTTCCATGGTTGAAATATCTTGCTGAATCTTTTCATGTTCTTCACTAACTTCCTCACAGTTCGCTGGAAAAAAATCTAAATGTGAGTCCAAAAAGTGGATTTTAAGTATCATGTTACATCCCATGTTCTTATAAACCTTGAGGACGTTTTTCACCAATTCTTCATAGTTGCCTTCCCTTCTGTTTTCGAGAAATCCCTTCGCCACTAGCTTGAATGCTTCCCAAGCAGCTTTCTCCTCCCCATGAAGGTTTGATTCAAAGTCACCATTATAAGAAGCTCTCGAATCTGAGGACCATTGAAAACCCCCTCTCTTATCTTAGCGTCGCTCAGTGAGGGGAATTTTGATGTTAAATACTCGAATCCCTGATCGGATTTGTCCATAGCTTTTACAAATTTTTCATGAGCCCAAGTTTTAGGTGCCAGTCTCTCCTGAGGTAGTTGCACGGCTGTCCCATCCACACAGAAAGCAACAACCTTTAAGTCAGTACAGAGCTGCCATTGATGTTCATCATATTTCGTGCAAAGCTACATTTGTGGTACATAGCCCACATGAACCGATGGTTTACAGCTGCCGTTATGCAGCAAGACACCTTTCAGACTCGTTTTTGATGAATCTATGAACAGCCTGCAGTGAGGGTTCGTAGTCGATGCCAAGTGCTTCCATCAGACCATTAACATTGTTGCAGGTCACTAAATCACCTTCTATTACGAAGAAATCGTTGAACTACTACTGGCGGTCACGAAATTTTGAAATCTTCACATCAGCTGCTAGGAGATTCCACTGTTGAAGACGAGAGCGTAGCAGCTCTGCCTTATTTTTGGGTAGTTGCAGATCCCTGACAAGGTCATGGAGTTCCCCTCTTGTTATTAGATGTGGCCTAGAGGAGTGTGCTTCATCAAAGTTTCGGTCACTGTGTAATCCAGCACTGTCATCCTTCTCTTCTTTCTCCTCAACACTTTCTTCATCTGACTCGAAGGATACTGAAGTTGGTACATCAGGAACAGGTAGACCTTCTCCATGTGGAACTGGCCGAATACCTGATGGTATGTTTGGATATTCAATGGACCTCTTTTTTTTTGACAAGCCCTTTTGTACAGGAAGTACCATGCATAAATAACAATTGGTGGTATGATCTGTTGGCTCCCACCATGTCACTGGCATAGCAAAGACATTCCTTTCCTCTTCCTGCTCAACCATTGGCGAAGGTTAGTAGCACAATTGTTGCAACATATGTGTGGAGCCCAGTTCTTATCCTGGTCATCAATCCTGTATCCAAAATATAGATGATATGCCTTTTTCACAATAGCAGTTATACGGCACTTCTGTGAAACAAAGGTCACCTCACCACAAATGCAACAGAAGTTGTCTGCACTATTCACACAAGTACGAGGCATCTGAAAGAAGAAAATAACGATCAATTAGAAGATAAACAGAAAACTTATTCATTATCATAATAATACAGAGCATGACAGCTAAACAGATTTATGTCATTCAGTAGAAAACAGAATTAATATATGCCTCACAATGCATATCATAGCTTGCTCATTGAAAGTTTATTATAAGTTTAAAAGTGTTTGGCTAAGAAAATTACCTACCTTTCACCTCAAAATATAAACTTGCACACCACAATCATCTTCTATGACTGCTAGAACAATAATGAAGGTCAGTGAGACTGTGAGAGTGGTAAGAAGCACACTGCCGCAAGCCTGTTGGAACCTGTTGCGACACGTAGGTCGTGGAGAAATTTTCTTCAGGAGGAAGGTATCAGCCCCCTTCAGCCCCTTTCAGCCCTGAGGGGTCCAGCCCTCTCAGAAGGGGGAAACATCTTGTTTACTGCTACAGCAAGTAATTGATCCCAGATGCAATATGAGTATGCGACGTAGTCCAGCGACCGCCGCTCCTTGCAAGAGTCCAGTGTTGCAAAGTGTAGTTTAATAAGAGACAGTCCATCTCTTACCTTAGCAGGACAATTAAGGAAAATACTGCTCCCACTGTATTACCATGGTAAAGTTAGTGTACATTGTTGTCTATGCTTAAGACAGCAAGAATCAAGCATTCTGCTTTGCTTCATGAAGGAAGTTTGGCAATTAAGCAAAAAGTACTAGGTCAGCTTTTCCTTTATGTTCGAGGGACACTGCAGCGGCTTAGGACACTGTGAAGGTCAGATTACTTTTCACCCTACTGGGAGTCACACTGATGCCAGGATAACCAACAATGAACACTGATCCATGCATTAGTGTGAACAAAGTGTCTCACAAAACACAATAAACACTTACAGGGAAGTGTGATCAGCTTCTTTAGTGATAAGATTGTGAACAATAAAGACAAACCTTGTGGAACATAGTGTACCAGTGTGCATATTCGTAGACTATGGAAGATGTGGACATCCAAGGACACTTCAGCTTCTATCAAGTCACTGATACCTGTCGAGGGTGTAAAGAACACCATAACTCACCCTACAAGAGCAAGGTAGGTTATGAATTACCTTGTAATACAGGGGACTGTGCAGTTCTTGTGTTGCAAGGAGTTTGCAATCAACCTATAGTCGGCAGTGAGGTGCGGACTTTTGAGTCCACACACGTAAGTGTTGTCAGCAATCAGTGTCTGATATATGCTGCCATAACGCCCCATAGGTGTAATTTATAATCATACATAATATACTCTCTTACAGCCCGTTGCGAAGTGGGTATGACAGCTTCTCAAGACCTCGCCTGCAGGGGTGGCTGTTTAGACAATGAGCTTTCTTTCCAAGCTAAGTACCCCCTATATTTAATCTTTAAACTTAGCTGGTAAACCATTTCTCAACATAGGTGTATATTGAAAAGTAGAGCTAACAAACAATTTTAACCATGATATTCATTATCAGTTACCTAAAATAAGTTAGAAATTGTCATCACTGCTGCTACTACTACCACTACTAGTAGTAGTACTACTGCTAGTTCTATTAGTTCTACTACTATTACTGCTATTGATGTGCTACTGGTTCTGGGGATCATATCCCCAATGACACATTCTCAGACTAGGCCTCCATGGCATATTCTCAAACTAGGCTTCCACGGCACATTCTCAGACTAGACCTCCACAACACATTCTCAGACTAGGCCTCCACGGCACATTCTCAGACTACCTGGAGTTTACCTGGAGAGGGTTTCGGGGGTCAACGCCCCCACAGCCCGGTCTGAGACCAGGCCTCCATGGCACCTTCTCAGACTAGGCCTCCATGACATTCTCAGACTAGGCCTCCATGGCACATTCTCAGACTAGGCCTCCATGGCACATTCTCAGACTGGCCCTGCATGACACATTCTCAGACTAGGCCTCCACAGCACATTCTCAGATTGGCCCTCCATGGCACATTCTCAGACTAGGCCTCCACGACACATTCTCAAACTAGACATCATAAACTGAAAAGGAATTATTACCTAGCAAACAGAAAAAAAAAATGATTTTTTTTTCACAAAATTAGATAAAATTTATATCATACTTTCCAAAAAGCCTCTACAAAAAAGACAAAAAGGAAAAAAAAATTAATATTACTTGACATTTATAAATTAGAATTGGTGAAATGAAATTATTGAGTGATAGATTTAATTTAATCCAGGTGTCTATGGATAAGATTATTAAAAATAATCATAAATTTTAGAAGAGGAATGAGTAATTACAATAACCCCCTAAATGATTGTTGCTTTGCAAAATATTCTGCAACAAAATTACAATTGCAAATTCTATATAGGGAAAACTATATGGAAGCTTAGCTGTAAAATCTAAATGCAGGTGATGAGTGACACTTACCCCATGAGCCTGGAGCTTCGATGTCTGCTCCTCCGTCGAGAAGCTCAGTTATAACTGACAAGTGACCCCAGAGAGCAGCCCTGTGCAGAGGTCGCCATCGATCTGATGATATGGCCTCAGTGTTTGCTCCAGACCTGATGAGCATCTTAACCACTTCTGCCTTACCATGGTAGCTGGCGCAATGCAGTGGACGATATTCTGTAAGTTACATTACTATTCTTATTATTATCATCATTATTAATAACACTCATGAAGAAGAGTTAAACTGGTAAGGGTCATACAGAGCCTAAGAAATAGCAGGATATTCTATTATTGTCGTATCTTGACTAATATTATTAATCCAGCGCTGAACCTGTTATGGTTATAAATTTTCTAAGAAACTGGAGGGCAAAAAATCTGATCAAAAGAGGGAGAGAGTAGCTTCTATTTCTAGGACCAAGAGCACTTGACCTAGATCAAGAGCACTTGCTCTGGATCAAGAGCACTTGATCTGGATCAATAGCACTTGACCTGGATCAAGAGCACCTGACCTGCATCAAGGCACACCTCAATATGTCGTCAAGAAACTGGGAACTCAGTTTTAAACAAAAATGATAAATGTCAGATAAATAATGTAACAAAGCTGAAAATTTTCATAGAATACTATTAGTTAATTATTAAACTAATTACAGGGTTTACCACCATTATTAAGCATTTATCACATTGTGGGACTTTGATAATGTGGGAATTTTGCGTTATGATAATTGCGCTGTATTAAATGCATAACTGATTACATCAGAGTTTGATTAATATGCAAACTGCATGAGCATAGCATTCATAATTTACATAGATTATATCATTTATGAATCATAAGTGCAGACACCCTGTACTGTCTGCACAGACAGCCTATGGTGTCTGCCAGCTAAGTTCATATTTCGCGCCTTGCTCGTGCTGCCACCTATAGGCCTATGCCACTTCAGTATGGCCAGACCTACCTACCTCTCACTCTCTCAGCGACCTTCACTCAGTCAACAAGGCCTACTCCTCTCTCCCTCCCTAGGCATGGCTCTCCCAGGCCATGGGCACAAACACACTGCCTGTGTACCCAGATATTGGAAATGAACTAAGAAGCCTCCGAAACCTTATCATTACTCCCCGCTCTGCAAGAACCACCAATTAACTCATAATAAATGGTGGAAATGGTGGCTGCAGCATGTGTGTTTGCCCGGAGAGAGGAAGAGGAATAAAGTCGTCTTCACTTCAACACCCCACACAAGAAGCATCCATCTCTTAACGAGTTATCCTGATACTGTGTCTGCACATTCCAGCATCCAGGCACAGGAACACGCAGGATCCAGGCCGATATTTGCCGAATTTCACCACAGTGCCCCATGCTATTTCTCAAGTCACGTGTTCAGCGTCACTTGTATGTTTCTGCTGTTGGTTTTCAGCTCAGCACGGCTATTTCAGCAAGTCAGAGGTGAGTCTGTGGTGATTTCAGTGTCCAGTGTGGGCGTTTCTCCAAGTGGGTATATGGGAGAGGAAGTGGCCGGGTTCCTCACCTCACACCTCACCCGTCTAGCACCACACTCCACCACTATGTACTCACTCCCTCTGCTGCGTTTTCTGCTGTTTTCTGTGTGAATTAATTGCCAGAGCTATGTATCTGAGTGCTCGAGGCCACTCAAAGCCACGTGGATCACCAAGCCACGTGGATCACCATGCCAGATGGATCACTAAGCCACTTAGATCACGAAGCCATGTTGAGCAAGCCACGTGGGGTGTGGACGATGTCACATGGATCTACTAGCCACGTGGGTTACCAAGCCACACTTCCCAAGCCACATGCTGTGGTCTGCTGCTACATCACTCCACTGACATAATCTCACGACGTCACCCACGATGCTACCTGATTTCACAAACTCAAATGTCTGCCTGTCACCTCGTGATGTCACTCCATGACATCCCTCATGATGTCACTCCAGGACGTCACCTTTCAAAGTCTGCTGACATCACCTCACGATGTACCCCATCACATCACCTCACAGCGTCACGCCTGATCGACAGTGTTAGTTTCACCATGAGTATTATGTTGTGTTGTTGAAAAGTTTGAGAGAAGATGTATGTCATGTGTTAATTCCTCTCAGTCAGTGTTCTCACAAGTTTGTGTATAGCTTAGTGTCGATTTTTGTACAGAAAAACGTCATTTGCTAGTAAGCCATGTTGTACAGCATGTGCAGTACGGGTGTGTGCAGTTTCTGTGTGTCCTGTATGGTCTTGAGCCCAGACCACTGTGTAGCACCTTGTGTTACTTGTCACTCAGTGTGACTCGTCCGTTTGACAACTGATATCTGTCAGCCTGAGTGTCGGAGCCTCCTGTACAGAAAGCTCTTATGCCCGTCGCTCGTGATGGCCTGCAGAACCGTACCCACTACGATTCTTATCGAGATTTGTTTCACTTCACTTCCAGACCATTAGAGCGCAGTTATATGCTGAGAAACAAGTCTGGGGATGCTTAGACTAACCGCTGCTATAACTTCAATTGCCGAGAGAATGACACTCGTCAAGCCGCAGTTAGCCCTGCGGCAGGCGCTGTGTCAGCCTCGTGACTTAGCTTCAGTAAGCAGCCTGCACAGGATGATGTCACTGACTGCTAGCCTGCTCACTGCAGTATGGTGTATGATGTTATGACTCCCAGATGTTTTGCCAAGTCGTTTCTACCACAACTCAATCCAATCTTGCCGGTAGTGACAGCCCCAGTGACAGTACCAGTTGAGAAATATCCTCCCAAGTTGCTTGCCAGAAGAAGTCCTGCCCAATTACCGAATACTGATGATGCATCATTCGAGGGCACCAGCAGGTTGTGCCCCAGGTTGAGTGAAACCTGCAGACTACTACAATGACTGCTCCACCATTCCAGAGGAGACCGTACCCTGTTACGTCACAGCGCAGCTGCAGCAATGTCTCCTGTGTTGCAGTATCTGTCCAGATCCAGGAAGGCGTGCAGTGATGCCCATCAATGCTCACTGCATTAGACCACGATGCTTAGCACACCCCACCTTGTTTTTCTTCCCTCCATGTAGGAAGATTTTTTTTCCATGTCCATGTATGTATATATATATATATATATATATATATTATATATATATAGATATAATATCTATATAATATATATATATATATATATATATAGTTTTTATTTTATGTTCTGCTGCCCTGTCCCGTGAGAGAGAAACCGAGATTTTTCTACAGCCAGTCATGGTCAGGGACGACCATGGTGGTGCATGGTCGATGAATGTAGACAGCCTGTACTGTCTGCAACCCAAAAGCTATTCTTCTGCCACCTAAGTCCATATTTCACGCCTTGCTCGTGCTGCCACCTATAGGCCTATGCCACTTCAGTATGCCCAGACCTGCCTCTCAGTCTCTCAGCGACCTTCACTCAGTCAACAAGGCCTAGTCCTCTCTCCCTCGCTGGACCTGGCTCGCCCGGGCCATGGGCACTAACACACTGCCTGTGTACCCAGAGAATGCAAATAAAAAACCTCTACCAAGAACCACCAATTAACACAAAAACATAAGAAAGAAGGAACACTGCAGCAGGCCTACTGACCCATGCAAAGCAGGTCCAAGTGACCCACCGGATTAACCCAATGACCCATATGTCAGGTCACAACATCAGACCTAGTAGCTCAAGCTAGTCAGGCCCAACTCACACCCACCCACACCCACTCATGTATTTATCTTACCTATTTTTAAAGCTACACAACATTTTAGCCTCTATAACTGTACTCAGGAGTTTGTTATACTCATCCACAACTCTATTACCAAACCAGTGCTTTCCTATATCCTTCCTGAATCTGAATTTTTCCAATTTGAAACCATTGTTGCGAGTCCTGTCTTGGCTGGGAATTTTCAGCACACTATTTACATCCCCTTTATTTATTCCTGTTTTCCATTTATACACCTCGATCATATCCCACCTAATTCTAACTCCCTTGTCGAGAGAGTGCAGATTCAGGGCCCTCAGTCTATCCTCATAGGAAGATATTCTGATGCATGGGATCATCTTGTCACCTCCTCTGTACTTTTTCCCAGGCATTTAAATTCATTCCTGTAATAACGGTTGACCAGAACTGAGCAGCATATTCTAAATGAGGCCTTAACCCCAGGATATACAGAATTGAAGAACAACCTGAAGACTCTATTGATTTATACTTCAGATATGAAGCCAATGATTCCTTTTAGCTTCATTGTGAAACACTAATACACTGTTGTCTTGGTTTTTAGGTTAATCGCAAACCATAACTTCTAACTTCCTTTTTCACATTCAGTAGTAATAAGATGCTAAATTATTTAGTTTATAATGTAGCATGGTATTTAACTGTCTGCAACATTTTAGAACTTTGCATTGCCTAATATTAAACTGCATCTGCCACTTCTCCGACCACTGCATCAGTCTATTCAAATCATCCTGGAGTTCTCTAGTTGTCCTGCATTAGAATGAATTGGACGGCCCATTTTGTGTCACCAGCAAATTTGCTTATGTCCGCTATTTATTCCCTCATTATGTCGCTTATGTAAATTTGTGAACAATGGGCCCACACAGACGGCCTGCGGAACACCGATTGTGACGAGCCTCCATTCTGATTTCACCCCTATTTATAGGGGGGGGGGGGGGGGAGGGGGGGGGAGGGGGGGGGGGGGAGGGGGGGGGTGGGGGGTGAGGGGCTCGCAGCTGCCTATGTTTGTGTCCAGCCATGGCCGTCTACACCAGAAAAAAATTTCTCCTCCTTATTCCATACTGCTTTAACATTTCCCAATACCCTCTATGTTGAACTCTAACGAAAGACTTACTGAAGTCCATATACACATTATACTCATATACTACCTTCCTCAGACACCTTACTGTGAATTAAGTTAGTAAATTCATAAGACAGAAGGAAGGAAACGAACTTTGTAAATACCGTGATGAGACGATACATCTGTGTATTAATCCAAATTTATGCCTATGAAGATGCATGAACTGCTTCGGCAATTAATTGATTCCATATATTTTTCCCACTATGGAGTAAGGCCTTATTGGTCTAGAGTTTCGAAGCTAAGGAGCCTGTCACCTGCCTTGAAAATAGGTAATTACATTCGCCATTTTCTACTTTATCAGGCACTATGCCCAGTTTGTATTGAAATGTTAAAAAGATATAGCCAATGGTTATGCT